AAAGAAGCAATTCCTGACATTAAAATATTGATTGTAAGGCTATCTTCAATATACACCCATAAAGCTATGAAATTTCAAAATGACCACTTAATTCTGACTAATAAAATGCTAGGACAAGGAGGAACACTAATGTTGATATCTCATTTAGAAAGAGGAATGTGGTTTCATTATATGTTTAAACGGCCTGCCACAACACGCGCCATCCCAGACTGGAAGAGGTTCGCCCCGCCCTCGTCCAGCCCCCTTTTTTTTTTTTTTCTGCGCGCACTTGTTCTTGAGAGACGCTCATTATTTATTTTTCTGTTTAGTGGAAGCTGCTGAGAGATATAATTACATTTTCTTATCTTTGGCTGGAAGTAAACAAAGTTAATTATTGCTTGTCGAGTCGTCCTGTTGCATTTTATTATATCTCCGGGTAAGTCTATTCTATCTCTCTTTTTTAAAGAAAATAAAGTTTTGAAATGTTACGAGCAGCTAACACAGATGACGATGGTAACTCCGGCTAGCATAAAAGATTTGAAACGTTGCTTTACTGTTGGGTTTTATGAAATTTGTTTTTTGTTTAAATAGTGGGAATTTTTGATTTTCGTGATACACAATTTGTAACGCGGCAGTGATTTGTGTGCTGTTCGTTTGAGCTAAAAGCGTTTAAGTTTAGTTAAAAAAAACAAGTTGGGCTAAAAAGTTAGCTAGTATTAAAGTCACCTGCAGCCACTCCCGTTCCCAAGCTCGTGCTCCAAAACGTTTAAGGCAAGTCGTTGTATCATATAACCAAAACGCTACTATGCATTTTGTTTGTTAGCGATGGCTTTCTGCTTCTTTAAAACTATAATGGTACTAATCACAGCTTCACTCGATAGTAAAAAAAAAAAAAAAAATTTTAAATTACAGGCTATTATTTTAAGGTCACCACAACTGACATCTAATTAGAAAGAGCTAAATTTAATATATGAAAATAAATTCCAAAAATTTGATATTTTTAATACAATTTTTGGAATATGTTTTTGGGAAATTACAATTCTTGGACGAATCGGTTGTAATTTTTAAAGAGAAGCAACCAGATATCTATCTGAAACGCTTTTCTCTTTTCTCTCAAAAAAAAAAAAAAAAAAAAATTAATAATTATATGAAGAGTTTTCTTGCCATAACCACCTGTCTGTTCAGTTAATGTGACAACCTTGTCTATGGGAAAACTTTATAAACTTAGGTCTCACCTCTGCATTCTTCACATTCCTGAAACACAAAATAAACTCCATCCTAGCATTTGGATCAATTTGCTTCCTAAAACTCCTAATTTTGTCACTATGAGGTTTTTCTTTGGTGTGTGCCTTTCTGATCTGTGCAAATTAAGCTTAAGTTGTCGTAAAACTTTACAAAGGAGGAGACACAAAAGTCAACAAGTCCTTCAGGATTTAGTGTTGACTCTCAAAGCACGAGGAAGGTGAATTTTAATGGATAAATATCCAAATTCTATGTTGGTCAAAATATTTGTGAAATAAATTTTATGTATTTTAGGGATTTGTTTTCTGTTTTGTACTGTGTTGTATTTTAAACCCATTTGTTAACTTTTTATCTGGCATATTGGTATGTTGTCTTAATCAATTACCAAGTAAGAAATTGAAGCATTAGCATCTTGCTGTAGATCACAACTTTATTTTTTTAAGCAAGAATGCTTTTCTGTGTATTATGCTCATGTTCCTGTATATTGTAAAGTGTACAAGTCAGCACTTTGTGTTATTTTGTGCTTAAAAAGAAATTGTACAAAGTTCAGTGGAGGTAAATTTACTGTAAATTTAAGCTGCAGGTTGTTCATCAATGTTGGCACTACATGTGATCTGAATCATGACCTGCTGAGCTCTGCATGAGAGCCATGTACAGCCCCTTTAAAACTCCTAAAATATTAATAAAAATGTATTGCACACACTTGTTTAATGTTTCCAAATCATTACTTTTGTTCTCTAATTGAGCAGAAGTGAACTGAAACGCAGTGGCTGCTAAAACGGCTCATCCAATAAAAATAGACGTTTATTTTAGACACGGAAACTCAAATGTTTATTGTCAGGAGGTAATGTGGGCTGCCTGCAACTTCAGGCATGCACATGGACCATGGACGTGGTAATGGATGGATTTACCTTCTGACACCGGCAGTCGCACAGTGACATGTGTTTACAGTACCTTACTCCAAAGATGGAAGAGGTCAGCGTTCAGTTTATTTATTTCAGTTCACAACAAACATTGTCTCAGGGTACTATACAAAAATATTCACATACATTATGTAAAGACTATTCTATTGTTGTGATTGGATGCACCTGTTTGTGGTTCATGATAATTATCTGAAATTTACATATTCTGAGTTGTGTTTAGGGCCAATATTTAGAAGGCATATAGTTTTATGATCACATGCATGCACATACATATGTATGCACATGCTCAGTAATGTTAGAAATACGATAATTGGAAATAAATAAGGGCAGCACGGTGGCGCAGTTGGTAGAGCTGCCTCCTCTCAGCGAGAAGGTCACCCCGGTGCAAACCCCGGCCCGGGGGGCCCTTCTGGGTCGAGTTTGCATGTTTTCGCCGTGCATGTGTGGGTTTTCTCCAGGTCTGGTTTCCTTCCACAAAAACATGCATGTTAGGCTGTTTGGTAACTCGAAATTGATCCTAGGTGTAAATGAGAGGGTGAATGTTGTTTGTCTCATTTGTCTCTATATGTCTCTGGACCTGTCCAGGGTGTCTCCCGCCTCTCGCACAGTGATGGCTGGATATGGGCACCAGTGACCCCCGTGATCTGAAAAGGAATAAGCAGATAAAGATGATGGATGGATGGATGGATGAAGATAAATAAGATTTAAACATGATAAAGAAAGCGAGTCTGGGACTTGGTCAATGGCGAGTCAAAACCTTTTAACTCTGATCAGTTATTCATAGGAAATCACTTACACATTATGAAATGCACAATAGAAAAAATAATCTATCTAAGGAAACCGGCAGAAGTGTCACATCTTCACATTGTCCAGCCTCCCATCCTGAGCAGCATGCTGACGACTGGAAAGGAACAACCAACGCCCTTTTTAAAAGGAAGAAACCTCCAACAGAACTGGACTTAAGATGATTGGCCATCTGCCTCAACTGGCTGGGGTTAGAGCAGGCAGGAAAGAGACACAAAGACAAAGTAAGACTGGTCCAGATGTAGTTTCTGTGGTCCAGATGTAGTTTCTGTGGTCTACTTTTAGTTTATGTGCTCCAGATGTAGTTTGTGTGCTCCAGATGTAGTTTCTGTGGTCCAGATGTAGTTTGTGTGCTCCAGATGTAGTTTGTGTGCTCCACGTGTAGTTTATGTGGTCCAGGTGTAGTTTATGTGGTCCACGTGTAGTTTCTGTGGTCCAGATGTAGAAATAATTACAAATACACACATGGCGATTGGAGTGAATAAAGACGGCAGCAATGTGAGAAAATGTGGTCAGTTTGTCCTCCAGGAGTCCAAGTCTTTAGCAACATAACTAAAGAATAGCTCAGGAAACCCAAACTTAACTATAGGATTTATCAAAAAGGAATGACTCGGGCCTAGTCTTAAAATTAAACGGTGTCAGCCTAACAGAGAGAAACTGTAAGTTGGTTCCACAAGAGGGGAGCCTGAGAACTGAAAGCTCTGCCTCCCATTCTACTTTTAGAAACTCTAGGAACCACAAGTAAACCTGCAGTCTGAGAGTAAAGTGCTGGGTGACAGCTGAAGTGACGGCTCGCTTTATATATTCCATTAAACTGTTATTTTTCAGGTTCGACCAAAACCGCTACAACAGCAGCCAATAATCAAAATGCGTTCTTTCAAGGAATGCTCGGTCGTTAATTGTTTTTGTTTTGACTAATTCTTCCGTAGTGACGACGTGAGACGTACGCCCCTCAGACTTTGGGACAAACGGTGAACTTCTGGTTGATTTGTTTGTGTTTAGTTACAGCAGCTGTTGCTTATTCACCATCACACACAAACGCACAACAGTCTGGGTGCCTTTGTGAAACTGCTTCACACAAACAGTTTTTTTTCTCCTGACAGAATTGGATCGTACTCCGCAGGTCACTCGGCAGACTCGCCGGTCTTGTTTTTGACCTGTATTTCATGCTGCTCTGCTCCACCTCCACCCAGTGTGGGTGGATCACTTCAGGTGTGGCTGCCGAAGAAAGTAAAATGATATATAAAAACAAAACTTACTTAAGCAGATAGAAAATACATGCATCTTTGTTTTTGTATTTGGTGAAAGCTTATGTTTATGTAAAATTATATTTACAGTTGTGTTTAAACTCTGTTGTTTGGACTGATGTCACTCAGATTAGCTTTTAAGAAATAAATCACTATTTTCCTGCTTTAAATTTTGTTGTGGACCAGAAATTCATCAAAGCAACAAAAAACGGTTCTGTTTTGTCTCTTCCTGTATCTCTGCTCAGATTTACATCTTTACTCTAAGGTTAGAGGCCTAAAACACTTGAAGCTCAGAACAGCGTGACAAATGGCTTTTTAACTAGATTGCTTTAGCATTTGTTTAAAATGGTTGTTTTAAGGGTAAAAGTAAAAATTGTCAGTTTTGTAAGTTTTCAGTTATGAGTGGAAAAGTTGAACTGCTTGTGCGTGCGTCTCATTTTAAACACTGTTATTCTGGGTATACTCTTGTGGAAATAAAAAGCGTAACATTTAGTTAATAAAAATGCCTCATCGTGGTGTTTAATATTATTTAGTATTTTTGCCTGTGTGGGGTTCATCTTTGCTACAAGCTTTGCCGTGAAGGAACAGACCACCTCATGCTCCTCCAAATCAAAATTATTATTCTTGTACAAATGGTCGGTATTGCAATATCAGTATTGTAAAGGGTTCAAAAGAATCGCAGACACAAAACGCTTGCAAAAACATACAAACGTGTCAGTTGGACTGACCGAGCTGACCCTCACTCTGTAAGCCCACAGCCGGGACACGGAGTGACGGAACATCTGGGGTCCCGGTATCCAATTAATACTGTGATCTCACACAAACGATCACAGTTCATATGAACAACCTCAGTCTGTGATTCAGGAACACGCAGTGTTTTGATGTACCGGAATAACAAGTTTTTCCTTTCTTTGTTCTTTTTTTTCAGTGTCATCAGGAAATTTTGGAAGACGTACCGTTTAAAAAAAAAAAAAAATCAAAAAGACTCGTGTGATCATGAGGAGGGTGAGTCAGTTTGTTCCACACCGCAGGACACCTTTGGGTTTTGGAGGCCACTAAAGAGCAGAGAAAGGCTTTTTAAGGTAAATTAAGTTTAAAACAAAACAAGCATTATCATAGTTTTTACACTTTGGCTCTGCAGTGTCTGAGCAAAGATGAAAATGTTGCATTTAGGAGGAAAAGATGATCTGTTTTGGTTGTATTTATTTTTTAGCTGCCACCTGTTGCCACAGGTGATCTCTGTTTTTCGTTGTATTTTTCCTTCCAGCTGGTGCGACCTGAACTGTGGTGTCAGTTTGACAAACCAGTTTTCTGTTCTTGAGACTCTTTTGGCAACGGCTCGTTTGAAATCGTTCTTCTTCACACACTTATTTTTCTTTCTTCATTAAAGCTGCTTGAAGGATTCAGGAGGCAGGAAAGGGATGGCAGTGTCTTTATAATTAGAATTCAAACACTAAATTAAATGCCAACTAGGCCCGTCACGATAAACAATAAATCAATTAATCGCATGATAAATGAAAATTATCGACCTCAGTTTCATTTATCGGCTTTATCGTTTCTTCGTATCTCTCTTTCTACTGGTTGCTGGATGACAAAAGACTCAACTCCGGTGCTCTTCACTGACCCCTTCCTTTCTCTTTTCTCTTTAAAATCCATTTTAACTGTTCAAAATTGCGTTTTTGATCGTTAAAAGCAGCTAAGCTGAGAAGCTACGCTAACAGGCCGACTTCGAGAAAAAAAACCTCAGTCTTGTCGAAGTTCCAAAATTCACGGTTGAAACCCGTTCCTTCATGTAAAAAGTTTCTCTCTGCGAAACAAAGCTGAGAACTTGTTTACTAATTTTTATTTTTATTAAAAGCTTTTTGTGAAAAATGCTATGCTAAAGAGCTCAAACCACACCGAGCGTCCGCCATTTTGAGAACCGAAGAAAAGGAAAGGGAGACGGCCCATGTCACGTCATGGGGCCTCCCTCGCATTTTTCTTAAAGAGAGACGCTGCTCGCTCCCTCACTATCCATCCTTCGGTTCAAACAGACTTACACTGCCTTCCGGCGGTCAAAAAAACGGTACTACACGCAAAACAAATTAATATTTTTTTCTTAAATTTTATAATAATTACTAATTGTCAAATTTCAAACATTAATGTTTATCGTAATAATTTCTGAGACACCCAGCAAAATTTCTTATCGTGACAGGCCTAATGCCAACACCAAAATATGTAATACTGGATCATTTTTCTCATTAAATATATGACAAGTATAATATTTTTGTCTCATTTATTTAACTGTGTTCTCTTGATCTACTTTTAGGTCTTGTGTGAAAATCTGATGTTTTAGATCATATTTATACAGAAATAGACACAATTCTAAAGGGTTCACAAACTTTGAAGCACCACAGTACAAATGATTTAACTTCTGGAGTGAGAGTGATTCAAAATGGCCACCACAGCTGGCTGACCTTAAAATATAAATTAAAAATATTGACAAATTTTGTGTGGTTGCAGCTGCGACTGATCCCCAAACATGTATTCTGTGCACAGAATTTCTTGGGATCTTTGCTTTAAATGTTGCCATTAACTATTTGGAGTTGACTCTGTTTGTTAGCCAAATATCTCATGAACCACTGGACAGATTCTAAGAAAACTTCCAGGCGAATATTCATAAGGTTTAGCTCTACAACTGTTTAAGCTTTGGAGCCAACTGAATTCAAGGTTTGACCAAAATGACTAATCTTTGAATCGCTTGCATGAAAGGTGGCAGGTGATGTGCGTTATTTTAATGAATCATTTAGTTGAATTTTCATGTTTGACTGACTTCAGTCTCAGTACGTCTTTCTGTTAACGTTACTCGCTCACAGCTCCTCTGTTTGTTGTTCTCTCTCAGTACAGGGGAGAGTGTTTGTCCCCCAGTGTCCAGTAGGCTCCCAGACGGTTCAGGTATGACCGTCACCCCCTCCACCCCAAACACCCAGCGCTCAACCTGCTTCCTCGTCACTCGTAGACATGAACTCCAGGTTAGTAGCTATTCCAACACTCGCTCTGACATCCAGCACAGTTTAGGGTTAGCAGTTCAAGCTTCTGTTTGGTCACATGTTTTTCCAGAGTTTTTCTTTCAGGACGTGACAGACGTGCTGTCCAAAACCTGATTCTGAGTCACTTTTGTTCCTTTTTGCCATCGGGGTTTTGTTTCTCTTGATACTGGAAAGATAATATAAGATGTAACCCCTGCTGTTTACCTAAGCAATAGCGCCAAACACCTTTTTTTTTTTCTGTGTGCGTGTTTTTGCTCTGACATCACTTTTCATTTACCAGCTGAGCCTTATCTCATCACATACCAACTGAAACTGGTGCAGCACAGATGGATGAGTCTGATGGCAGGCGGCTGAAGGCCTCAGAGGATTCTGGGTCGCAGGCTGAGCCCTACGTCCCAAAAGGTCAGTTAGTAATTGTCAGCGTGATGAGAGGCCGCTGATCGCTTCGTGTTATTAACAAAAGAGAGAGCATGATGAAACTTTGAGCTTATAAAAACCTGTTAATTCTAGATGTTGGTAGTCTTGAAAATAAAGCAAAGAAAAACACAAAAAGAACCATTGCAGTTTTGTATTTTTGTCACTATTCGACAAACAATATCTGAGAATATGACTTGTAAAATGGTAAACTAGTCAATCAAACAGGCACAAAATGAAAAAAAAAAGTGAACATTTTTAAATGATTAACAATATTTCTGTAATAATTTACTGAAACGATCACAGAGCACTCTCTACATTGGATTGATTCCAATCTCACGTGTGTCATTCAGACTTGGATTATAAACAGCTGCAAACTGATCTGAAGTCTGATGCCCAGAACCTGGAGGCAGAGTCCTGGAGCTTGGCTGTGGACCAGAACTACCTAAAATCCCTGAACAAAGAGGCCATTGAAAGACAAGACGCCATCTATGGTACGCTGAAACAGACGTCGAGTTTGAATTTGTAAAATGAATCTGTCTTACTGAAGTCACCAGTAAATCTGATCACGTACATTGGAGCTATGAGTCAGAACATTCATCAGTTCATCATTAAAAGTCTTTTTGTCATCTCCTAGAGTTGATCCAGACTGAGATGCACCATGTGCGCACGTTAAAGACCCTTTTCCACGTCTACATGTACGAGCTGAAGCAGTCTCTTCTAGTAGACGACGCTTCCATGGAGCGGCTTTTTCCTGGCTTGGAAGTTCTGCTCAGCCTCCACCAGCTTTTCCTCAACTCCCTAAAGATGCGCCAGAAAAAGAGTCAGGAGGAAGGGAGCTCGAATAACTACTGCATCAGACAGCTGGGGGATGTTCTCATCACTCAGGTGGGGTAGAGGGTCCAACACATTTACATTTTTTTTGTACCTCGTCACAGAGCGAAAAGGGGGAATTGAAAATACCCTCCACCTGTGAATGTTGTGAGCACGATGGCTTGAAAAATAAATGAGGCGCCAACTTTCATTTTAGTATGTGGTTACATTTAGGCGCAAGAAAGAGTCCTTACAAAAATTGAGTTGCCACGTCAAAATCCAAGATGGCCGCCATCATATATATCTAAATCTTGCGAGCTCGATAACTTCAAAAAATAAACATTGGGCTATTTCCTTTTTGGTGTGTGGCTGCATCTGCGTGTAAGAAATTTCATGATCAAAAACTGGGATGCTACATCAAAATCCAAAATGGCCACCCCTATCATTTGAGGACACTGCTTTGTTTAAATGTATAGTTTCCTCAAATGATTGGGGTAGCTAAAGATTAATCTATGATGACCAAGGCTGCCATTGGTCACCTCTTGGCTCTGCCGTTGCGCCGGGTGGTGGGAAAAATTTCTCCCTTTGCTCGCCAAGCTCAGTCACTCTGTTCCACTTTGGACAAAAAAACTACCTCTATTCTTTTACACAGTATAACTTACCCACTTGAATATTTCACACCAAAAACATTAAGGTTTACTTGCATTCCCAGTTCAGTTCCAGTCCAAAGAAACACTCCTCGAAAACTACAAACATTCACTATTCAAATCCATCAGCGACAGGGGACATCGTTGTACCACTTGTTTTACTTGTTTACATTGGTTACTGTCCATAAAATGATACATTTACAATGTATTTAAATAGCAAAGGTATAGGAAATCAAGTTATTTTCTTTTTTTTTAGATGTTTGAAAATTATTCACATGAATAAAATCATTCTTTTTCTCTTCTCAGTTTTCAGGTTCGCTCGGCGAACAGATGATGGAAAGTTACAGCTACTTTTGCAGCCATCACAATGAAGCTGTCAGCTTCTACAAAGAGCAGATCATGAACAACAAGAAGCTACAGACTCTTATCAAAGTAAAGAATCAGCTCTGTGTCCTTTACTCTAAAATTTGAAAATGAAAATGTATACATTTTGTGAGAAAAGTCATCTCAGTTGCTCCAGAAATACGTTTACATCCTAAATAATGGTTTAAAGTAAATTATAAGCATCACAGCTCCAGCTGCACAGCATTTTGATGATCTGTACAGCAGGTGAAATGCTTCACTGTTGCACCTAAATACTGTAAAATGATGAATAAAATTTGTGAAAACTGACCTACTTTTACTTTTTCTCAGAAAATAGATCAGGCCTCTGTGGTGCGACGTCTGGGAATCCCTGAATGTTTCCTGTTGGTGACCCAACGCATCACCAAGTATCCATTTCTGTTGGAACGGATCATCAAGAACACCGAGGGTAAAGTCTTTCCCTCGTTATTTAACAGTTTTTGCGCATTCAGTGTTTTAATGTCATTAAACTGAAGCAAAGGTTGGTCTTTTACTTCCCGCTCCTCACAGCTGACACCGATGAGTGTAGGTCTCTGCTGAGAGGTTTAGAGCTGATCAAGGACACCCTCTCCAAGGTGGATACTCGGGTCAAGGAATATCAGAACGCTTTTCGTCTGAGAGAGATCTGTCTTCGTCTGGAACCAAAGAGTCAGGTCCGGATGAACGATGATCGGGTCTTCCGCAGGGATGATCTGATCCAGGGCAACCGATCGCTGCAACATGAAGGGGTCGTCACCTGGAAGTCCTCTGGGAAACTGAAAAGTTTGTGTTGGGCTTATTGATCCATGAACAGTCCTGCATGTGAATAAAACTGTCTGAAGTAAAGAACTTTTAAACACCCTGCACTTGTTTTATCAGTTGATGGCTCCAGATTGAGCTCAGAAGTGTTTGTGTGACCAGATCTGGTGTTTTTAAAGAGTTGAAGCATCAAGTGACTGGTGACTCAGTGATTAGTTTAAATGTATAGCAACAACAGTGGCTTCACCTTTTTTTCTGAAAGTCAAGTCTCTTAAGTAAATCAAACAAAATTAGCTCTATCGTTAGCTTCCAAGTTTAATAAAAAAAGCAACAAAAACATTTCTTCATGGCAGGTCATACATCAATTGTTTATGTGGTTTACATGCTGCATCTTCTGCTTCAGACGTCATCGCTGTGCTGATGTCGGACATGCTCGTCTTCCTACAAGAAAAAGATCAGAAGCTTGTTTTTGCTTCCATGGTGAGTAAACAAAACTGAAATATCTCTAGTCTTCTGTATCATTTACACAAAGGCCTTTTTATCCATTTTATTCTTTTTGAGCAAAATATTTTATTAAACCAGAGGCGGCGAAGAGAATAGATGTAAAACTCTGCTATTATTTAAACATTTTTATTTTAAAATATCACTTTAAATGTTTCCTAACTCTGTTTTAAC